CCCTCCCACCCCTGGTAACCAACAAAGAAAATGTCCTCCAATATATAAACATTAGAATCATTTTCTGATGGTTACCAGAGGTGGGAAGAGAAGGGAGGTTAAATCACTAACTAGAAGGTAGACACATATTAACTTAGGTTAAGGGAAAGACAATACACACTAAAGGGGTAACACAACACAATGCAATGCACTGCCATCGAGTCTGATCTGACTCACAGCGGCCCCTCCTCAGGTTTCTGAGGAGGTACCACTACGGAATAGATTGCCCAACCTTCCTTCCCACTAAAGGGGGAGGTCAGCACAAAATGATGAAGGCAAAGGAAGACACTAGGAGGAGCACAAGAGTTAAAGGCAACAAATTACATAAATAATTTTTAAATAACAGAATAACAATCATCTGTAAGTGGATACATAGATTAGACACTTGAGCTGAACAGGTGTGGGAAGGTGAATGGGACTACACCCATGAATACATATAGGTTTGACACAGGATAATTCTACATTAACTATTTATATGTGCTACAAATATACCCATGAATATAGTAGAGCACACGGGGGAAAATTATAAAAGCTTTTTAGTCTTAACCTAACACCTTGAAGGAATGAATTGCTGGGCCTGGTGGCTCAAGACCATAGGCTCAGGGGACACTGGGCTCAATTGGCATAATATAATAATCCACCAAGACAGAGTTCTACATCCTATTGTGGTGAGTAGAGACTAGACTCTTAAAAGCTTGTGAGCGGACATCTGAGATGCAACTATTAATTAGTCTTCCAATCTGGAGAAAAGAAGAGTGAAGAAAATCAAAGATGGAAGGATATAATTAGTGCAAAGAACTAATGGATCATGTGAAACCCAGCCTTCATAGCCTTCATGATCCTGAGACCAAAACTAGATGGTAGCTGGCCACCACTGCTGACCATTCTGAAAGGGATCACAATAGAAGGTCCCTGACAGAGTGGGAAGAAAACATGGAACAAAAGTAAAAATAATAAAAAGACTAGGCTTACTGGTCTGATAGAGACTGGCGCAACCCTCATAACTATAGTCCTTAGTCACCTTGCAAGCCTGGAACTGAAGTCACCCCATGGCTCAATTTTCAGCCAAACAAGAGACAGGCCTATAACGTGAACAATAACACCAGTTAGGTATGCACCCCTCAGAAAAATCTCATATGAAATGAGAAGAGCAGGATTTTCCCAGAGGCCAAGTTCAGAAGGCAGAGAGGGCTAGGAAAGAAGGATGAATGGAAATGCGGACCACAGAGAGTAAGTGGGATCAGCACTGTTACACTGTAGGGATTGCAGTCAATGCTATGAAAAAAATGTGCAGCATGAACCGTTGAATGGAAAACGAATATGCTCTGTAAATGTTCAACTAAATCACAATAAAAAGTTAAAAAAATCAAAAAGAAAAGAAACAAAACCCTGTATAGGATACATTATCCATACAAACATTTAAAAGAAGAAAACAGGATCTAAACTCCAGTAACAGGGGTATGGCTAAGCAAACCATGGTATTTCAAGATAATGGAATACTTATCAGAAGAGACCAGTCCCTGGAGAAGGGTATTATGCTTGGTAAAGTAGAGGGTCAGCAAAAAAAGGGAAGACCCTCAACGAGATGGATTGACCCAGTGGCTACACGATGGGCTTAAGCCTAGCAGCCCTGTAAGAATGGCATAGGTTTGGGCAGTGTTTCATTCCACATGATCTGACAGCAAATTACAACAACACTAGTAACAAATGTATGTAAATCATATAAACATAGAGAAATATATATGTGGAATTACATTAAGCAAAAATGAGCTCAAATTATATGCATCTGTTAATTACCAAAAAAAATTTACAAAAAAAATTAATTATAATTATATATAATTATGTAAAAAAAATATAAGCAAATGCTTAAGGCCATGATATATCTTTTAAAAATATTTAACCAAAAATTAAAATTTCAATAATGGAAGTATACTAGTTTAGTTTTCTCTGGATGCATACTTGTTTTGAAACTCTGTGGGTAGGATGAACGATAACTGGGCTCCAACATTGCTCTCCAAACTGGCAGTTGGTACATAAGTATTTACAAGACTGGCAACCTCTGCAGCTTTACAGTGAGGCTCTTTCACCATGACCAGATGGTATCCTGTGCCTGTAAGAAAAAGTATCACGATTTTGCATTTCCATCTTCCCTTGCTGGTTTCTACCCAAATGTGTATGTTTGAGTTAGGCCATATTTTCTAGAAAAGAAGAAATGACTGACAGAAATATAAGTTCTGATTTTAAAAGTATTTTTCTAAATGCTGCCCCAAGGTTCTTGTTTCCTATTCCCTCCACTGAAGATGGAATGTCAAAGCCATTCCTTGGAAGAGGGAGGATTCTCCTGACAACACAGGTGAAGACACTCGAGAACTGCCGGATGCCACAGTACAGAACAGAGGCAAATCAACTTTGGTACTGGATAAACACGCATTATTTCATGCTGCCATTTTTTTTAGGGATTAATAAAATGTGGGATTTGAGATCTATGTCCAGAGGAAGTCCACTGTGAAACGGTTTCTCATCTGTCCCCTATAACGATGAAAGATTCATGTTAGTAAATTATTATTATTTTTTTTTTTTAACTAATTCTTACTGTTCTTTAACTCCTTCTTGCATCTTAGGAGGTTGAATACCTCCTTCCTTTTTACACTAACTTAGTTATTTTCCTTTCTCTTAACCTGCTTTGGCCACTCCTTGTCCCTGTGTTTTTCTAGTTGTTTTAAATTAAACCATAAATTCTTGCTAAGACTGTGCTTAAAGTTACAGACTGCTGAAGACCATGAAGAGATATTAGGAGTACAATAAATGGTGAATTTTGGACAAATAATATTCTCTTGGTTACATAAAGACTGTCAATAAGAAGTCATAAGGAAATGCAATCCACGGTTTTAATTTCTGGGTTTCTGTGCTGGATTGGAACAGGGATAACTAATGGATCTTAATGCAGGAAGAGATCATGTGCTGAGGACGCTAGAACTCAAGTTGTCCTCCTAGTGTGTAACCCTTTCCAATCTGCCTTACTGCATAAGTAACGACTCACACTGCAATGAAAAAGAAAAGACAAGTGAGATTCATTTTGCTGTTACCAAATGGGGACCCCTAGTTACCCAAAAGCTTCTCTTTATTCTCCCTTCTCCTATCTTCATTCTGTCAAAACTGGTTCTTTGTTCTATCTGCCCAACTCATAATAAATTGAACATACTTCATAAAGCATGAGACTGAAAGACATTGATCTGTAAGAGCTATTCATAAATTCTATTAATAAATAAATCCAATACATTCTATTAATAAATTCTCATTCTCATAAAATGAGAAAACCTACATCCTCAAGAGATTTCCTAAATTCTTCAAGCAGAAAACAAAAATGACATTTTAAAAATTATTTTATTTTGACATTTTAAATTTGGCTATGTCCAAATCATCGAAGATTTATCTGTAGAAAGGGGAGGTAGTTAAAGGAAAAAGGTAACATTACTGTTTTTTGGTTTTTCTGTGCTTCATTAAAATTTTCTCTAAATCAGAGACTCTTAACTTTTTTGGTTGACCACTAAAAATATGATTAATGGATATGTTTATATTGATACAATTTTATATACTATTTTATGGGATTCACAACCTGTTGAAAGCCATCAACCTGTTTCAGTGCTCGTTTTAAATGGTGTCATTTTATTCCAAGTAAGAGACTCATTATGCTTAGAAACTTTAATAAAGACATTTTCCTATAGAAATGTACTTAAATGAGATTTTGTCTAATTCCTAGTCTTACCCCTTCCTCCTCACACTCCAGGAAACCTATTGTTTAACATGTCACAAAATCAGGCACTCTTGTGAGCTACTCCAATAGAGTTGAGAAGACTCTATAAAAAGTCTTTAAAAAGCTAAAACATATAAGTAATGGAGAACTCCATACTCCAAAACTCTGTATTCTCTTTTTTCACTTGCCTGAGCTTTAGTCTATTATCTCTTAAACTCAACATTCCAAGTCTATCTCTTAAGATGCCTTTCTTAGATCTACCAATAGCCCTTTCTCCAACTACTCTCCTCTTCAATACCTGTTGCACTAACTTGATGGCGCCATATTTTAACATTTAACCACACAGTATTTTCCACTGACCATTCATTGTTTACGTATGTGAGTATGGTCTCCCCAGGAAGATCATACACAACTTAAAAGGGAAGGCCTGTACCTTATTTCTTCTCTATCTTGCCTTCTTTCCCCATTTTCAGGTGGTTTCAAAGAGCACAATAACTAGTAACTGATTTTTTTAAACTGTCACTGTATTGTTGCCTTATATGAAAATAAACAATAGCACTCATATCTTGAGGATTTTAATGTTGGTCTAATAATGAAGTGTAGTTATTTATTTTGCCTTCTTATTTTTATTTTGGCTAAATATATAGATAACAAAACATTTGCCATTTCTATAATCTTCATGTGTACAGTTCAATGATGTTAATTCTGTTCATCATGTTGTTTGACTATCACTATTGACTGTTCCAGAATTTTTCTATTACCCTCAATAGATGTTTGGCTTTCTTTTTTAATCATCCATCCATCCATTGACCCAGCCAACATTTTGAGAGGATAATATATATTCTAGGGGAAGGGACAACATGAATGAACTCATAGTAGCAGGAATGATCTGAGCAGACTAAGATTGAGGAGTAATAGGAATTAAGGTTGCTTAGGGAGAGGCCAGATTAGAAGACTAGAATGTCAAAGAAAAGAGTTGCTGCTGTAGGAAACTGAGGAATCTTGTGCGAAACACTGTATGTTAATGTAGTGCTGAAAGAAGATGAGTCTGGTAGTGGAAATAACAGAAAGGTCCTGAATAGGTAGAATAATGGAAATCTGAAAAACCGTATTTCTGTTTGAGGAACAGTGAAGAGCCACAGCACTGCAAGTTCCCCTTGGCCAGGATGGCAATGCGATCACCCAGGAGATCTGCTTCGTCCATATAATGAGTGGTGAGCAGGATGGTGCGGCCATGTTTTTGCTGCTGAAGGAGATTCCAGGTGGCTCTCCTTGAAACTGGGTCCATGCCCGAGGTTGGCTCATCTAGCATCACCACCTGCAGATCAAAATACAGTCCTAGTTATTGGGACTGTCTCATTTGTGGAGAAGCTTCCTACTCATGGGGCGATCTTAGGCTTATTCTCTCTTTTCCTTCCCAGTTGGCAGCATTACTTGCCTAAGTACATACAGTAAATCAGGCTAATGTAAAACAATGGCTCTTAAACTTTAGGGTATATCAGAATCCTTTGAAGAGCTTGTTAAAATCAGATCACTGGGCCCCATTCTCACAGTTTCTGATTCCATAGGTCTGAGTGAGGCCTGAGAATTTCATTCCTAACAAGTTTCCAGTAGTTGCTGCTGCTGCTGCTGCTTGGCCTTGTGGACCACACTTTGAGAGTCATTGGTCCAGAGCAGGGTCAGCAACATTCTCCTGTGAGGGCCAGACAGTAAACACTTTAGTCTTTGAAGGGCAGACAATTTCCATCACAACTACTTTACTTGGCTGTTGTGGTACCAAAGCAGCCATAGGAAAAATGGGAATGGCTGTGTTCCAGTAACATCTTCTTTACAAAACCAGACAGCTCTGGCCCATATGTTGTGGTCTGCAGACCTCTGATCTAGAGGGCATGCCAAAGAAATGCTCAGTCAACTTCCTCATGGAGTTCATCTTCTACAGCTTTATCTGTTCTCTCAGATTTATAATAAGCTGCTTTTCTGATTTTTTTTTTTTTCCTGACTAGGTTGTAATGGGGGACTCAATGAGACCCTCTTCATACCTTAGAATTCCCTACAAGGGCAATACCGACAGAAAGCTGGCGCCTCATCCCTCCACTCAGGAAGTGAGAAAATGAATGCCGTTTATCTTGCAATTCAAGAAGATCCAAGATATTATTAATTTCATTTTGACAAATATCCCAAGGCAATCCTTTCAGCTAAAAACAAAGAAGAGGAGAGAGAATTCAATTGGTCTGACAACCTACCAACCATCTCTACATCAGAAAGATTTTACTCTAGAACCATTTCACATAGCAAGCTTGGAGAAATTCCCTCTTTCACTCTTGTTATGAACTTACTACTGTATCTCCCCACCCCAATCCTAACCCCTGTACCTGTCAATACAATCCTGTCTGGAAATAGGAGTTTTCTTTTGTTATGTTAATGAGGCATATCAGAATACGGTGAATCTTTACTTCTTAGCTTTAAAAAGAACAAAATAGGCACAGAGACACAAACAAGGAAGAGAAAGAAAGAGGAAGGAGACAGATACATTTACAAGGCCAGTAATGCCAAGGATTGCTCCAGTTACTAGAAGGAAAAACAAAAACCCCCACCTCTTTGGCTTACCATAGCAAAGAAGAAAAGGTGTTCATATACTGTAAAGTAATCAAACAGAAGATCATTCTGGGGACACAAACCCAGGCTCTTCCGGATATGAAACATATCTTTTGAGATATCAAATCCACAAATATATGCTTTTCCACTTGTAGGGGGAAATAGACCTAGGACAAGCAGAAGAGAGAGCAGTCAGTGAAAGGACACATCATTTCCCATTAACATGTGATGTGAATGTACCCTTTCTGGCTTAATCTCATTACTCCCATTTCATTGGTACTCAAATGCTAATCTGTTTCCACAGAGAATGTTGCAAATACAAAACAGCTCTAGTTGCTGTGAAGTATGGAAACAAAAAGGGACATGATTATAATTCCTAGAGAGCTGGGAGAAATCTGTGACTTGGCTGGGGAGGCAAAAACAGCAACCTGAAAAAATTAGAGTAAAATGTAACATCGAGCCTACCAAGGAGGGCCACACCAGTGGTTACTGATCTTGGGTGCACCAAAGACCTTTTGCAAAGTATGCTGTTGTTGTTGTTACATGTCGTTGAGTCCGACCCAACTCATACCGACCCCTCCTTGGGTTTCCGAGGCAGTATCACTATGGAAGTAGATTGCCCAACCTTCCTTTTGAGGAGTGGCTGGTGGGTTTGAACCGCCAGCCTTCTGACTAGCAGTCAAATGCCTTAGGCACTATCCCGCTAGAGCTCTCTTAGAATATGACCCAGTAATTCCCCTTCTAGCTATATATTGAAAAGACTTGAAAGCCGAGACTCAAATACTTGTATGCCAAGGTTCACTGCAGCATTATTCACAATAGTCAAAAAGCTGAAACAACTCAAGTCTCCATCTACAGATGAACAGATAAACAAAATGTGGTATAAACTTACAATGGAATATTATTCAGCCATGAAGAGAAATAAAGTTTTGATACATGTTATGAAATGGATGAACCTTGAACACATTATGCTAAGTGAAATTAGACACAAAAGGACAAGTATTATACGATTCCACTTATATGAAATATCTCACGTAGGCAAATGCATAGAAAAAAAAGTTTATGAATGGTTAGCAGGTGCTGGGAGGGGGAGGAGGGACTGGGGTATTGAGTTTCCATTTGGGGTGACGTGAAATAGAAAGTTTTGATTGTTGCACAACATGATGAATTTAATTAATATAATTGTGTTGTTATGATACCAAAAAATAGAAATGAAATAATTTAAAAAAACCACCTAAAAACACAACTACAAACCAGGCCCAAGCCAGCTCCATCCTTAATTGGAGCGAAGTGACTGACTTCTTGCTTTATCTTCCTAACAAAAGAAAAGGAGACTATGTTCTAGGGAAGGATAATATCATCTAAAATCTAAATTTATTTTCATTTTGTTGTTGTTATGTGCCGTCGAGTATCACTATGGAAGTAGATTGCCCAATCTTCCTTCCGAGGAGTGGCTGGTGGGTTTGAACCGCCAGCCTTCTGGTTAGCAGTCAAGTGCCTTAG